TACTACCTTTAAAATTGAGTATGTTGAAACCATAGGACTTACTAGATATTGCCTTTGAAAGACATTGCCTTCGACCAGGACAGTTAATTTAAATACTGCAGAGAGGAAATGCTAGGAAGTTGGAAAAAGATATCAGAGAGTTCACTGAATATGGGAAAACAATCATGTTTAATTTTTAGATCTCTTAAGTATAATATTGCTTTATAATGATAATATGAAACTGGCATGCAACACAGTTGGCTCACTCCCAATTGCCTATACATCACAATGTAGTCCAGATTCTCTGCCCAGTGTTCCTTAACTGTGCTTACCTTTTTAAGGTTTCAGTATGGAATGGAGTGTACAAAGTCATTTCTAAAATGCTTGAAGAAAATGAAAAATACAGACTTAGGCTGAAATTATGTAGTGAAAGTAAGTTAACACAATTTTCATTGTATTAAAGAAAACTGGCTTCTCTAATAGTTTAGTTACCTTTGGATTACATTAGACCAGTAGTTTTCCTAATTGTCATATTCAATGTATAGAGCTATAGAAAAAAAGGCTACCATATTATCACTGTTCATTGTAATGAAAAATCAAAGCATTGTAAAGCATTAAGTATAGAGTAGACCACAGGTGTATGTGTGAGTGGAAGAGTGCAGAAGGTGAATGTTGACTGGAACTGACTGAGCCAAGGGAACACGCTTGTCTATTAAATTTGAATTTTAATGCCAACTTTTTTTTTAAACGCCAAATTTTTTTTTTTTTTTTTGCTGTATGCAGGCCTCTCACTGTTGTGGCCTCTCCCGTTGCGGAGCACAGGCTCCGGACGCGCAGGCCCAGCGGCCATGGCTCACGGGCCCAGCCGCTCCGCGGCATGTGGGATCCTCCCGGACCGGGGCACGAACCCATGTCCCCTGCATCGGCAGGTGGACTCTCAACCACTGCGCCACCTGGGAAGCCCCTAAACGCCAAATTTTTAATACAGATTACAAAACTCATCCATATTGATGAAGAAAAACAGTTTAATTGTATTATAGAAGTATAAATTCTGTGTTGCTTCATACAGTCACTTCCTTTTCATGATGCTGCAGTCCAATTTAATGCATTTAGCAAAATCTGCCCTTGAATTATGGCTTTGATGTCATTATTTCATTCCTGGAAAACAATTCATAAATTAAACCATGTTTTAAGCTGCATCAGTGAGTTGATATTGTGGCCAGAGCAAAATTAGATGTAATCTAATATGTTTATTAAAGTAGTTGGAAGTTCTGGATTCTCAAACAATTAAGTTGGATAAAATTTATGTAACATGAATTGCTAAATCATAAGGCATTTTCTTTCCTTTACATGCATGTCCTAATACATATATTACCATGCTGAATGCTTCTATAAGTTTTTAGTGCAGTCACTCAAGGACAACTTTTATATTGACAGTCAGTAAATCTGCAGAATTTGATTTTGTGAAGAATATTTTTATAAGTTAATTAAAACAGAATGCCATTTTGTAAGCAGTGTAACACTGGAAACTCATTACTGTTATTGTAATATTGCATCCATAATAGCATAAATTGTTTGCAATAATGGTACATGAACTAATGTTCACATTAGTGATACTCTGTTTTATTTTTCTTATCCATTTAAGAAGGAGAATGAAGCAGAGGGCATTTAAGAGGAAAAAAGTTTTCAGTGGTTTCTTAGGTGACAAAGATGTTTGAACAGACAGAGAAATGTGCAAAAACCCTGGACATTGTTCTGAGTGTTAATCCAGATCTAATTACTCTAATAAATGTACTAGATCACATCTAATTTTGCTCTGGCCATTACCTTGAACTTGTCGCGTTCTTTTGTGCCTCAGCAATAGACCTTCTATTAAATATCAAGTGATCTTGTAAGGATTATTTAGCAATTTAAAGTAATATGCTGTGTTTTCCAGAAATAGCCTCTTATAAATGAAAGGTATCCTTGTAATTCATTATTTTTATTACAATTTTTAACCTGATTATAGAAACTAATAATTATATTTTAAAAATGTATTATAATTCTTGTTCCTTATTATATATTTATTAATGGGAAAGCCAATGCCAGAGACCAACTTGAATTTTCCTTATATTTTATGTTGTTCCTAGATTCAAGTTACACAAAATAAATCTTCTTGTCATCTTCTGGTAAGAATCCACTTAGATAACAATGAAAAGGTAGAGACTTTTTCCTTCCCCTTTACATCCTACCATCTCCAACTTTTAATGTATACCCATTGTTAATTCTAGCCTGTTTCCTTCCTTAAACCCAGTGTCTGACACATAGAAAGCACTCATTAAATATTTGTTGAAATTTAATAAGCTTCATTTGGGCCTCATATTCACAATGCTATTGAAACTACTCTCTCTATGGTCCAAGTTTTATGTTTTTTCTTTTTCATATCTCTGCTTAGTTCTCTTTTCTTTTTGAACATGCTGTCACATTTAATATTGTTTTACTACTACTTGTTCAAATTTTTCTTCTTATTATCTTGAAGACTATGTCATGGTTCTGTTTCTGCCTTTCTGACCATATTTTCTATGTATTTTTTATTTGTCCCTTTTGCTACCATCTAATAACAAATGCTTCCCTAGGAGTAATTGTTGGTCCTTTACATATTTATTCTGAGATAGCTGTCTCTTTAATTGCTGTCTCTTTACATATTTATTCTGAGATAACTCACCCATTTTATAACTTCAGTTACTCTTTCTGGGTGTATGACCCTTAAATCTCTATCCTACTTCTCACCTCTGGTCATGTGCCTCTGAATTTCTTTAGGCTGTTCTACAGTTACTTTTAAATGCCACATGGTTTAAACTGAGCATGTCATCCCCCCACTTTTTTTTTTCAATTGTGCCCTGATTTACTAATCATCTGGGCTCATTCAATTCTTAGGAATAGGTTACACCTATTTGGTTTGGTGGGGTTTGGAAAGTAGTAGAAAAGGTAAGTAAGATGGGCTTTGGAAAAGAGAAATTAGACTTTTATAAGTGGGAATGTTGGGGAAGGGAGTATACTTTAAGACATGGACATGAGAAAATTCATGGAGTCACAGAAAATGTTTAGGAATATACAGCTTGATTAAAGCTTGTTTAAGGTAGTCATAGTGAAGAAAGGTATACAATGTACTGAGAATGTATTTCAAATGGTCTCACATGTATACTTGGCCAAGGATACGTACTCAGTTCAGTAGGCAATGAAGAAACATGGAACATTTTCTTAACCCTTTATTCCAAATGATTTCAAATGTACATAAAAATCACAAGAAGAATACAAAGACCTCCAGAATACCCGTTACCTGGGTTCACCGATTTTTACATCTTGCCACTTTGCTTTATCATTATCCTACTCCCTCTCTCTCTTTCTCTGTGTGTTATGTGTATCAAGTATTGCCCCTTAATACTTTGGTGTGTGTATCCTAAGAACCAGGATATCTTTTTTATAACTACAGTACAGTTATCAAATTCAGGAAATTTAACATTGGTATAAAACTATGTAATCTATAGTCTATATTCCAGTTTTTTCTTGTGCCAATAATGTCTTTAATGGGATTTTTTTCCTGTTAGCAGGTCTGGTCCAGTGTCATATATCGCATTTAATTGTCATGTCTCTTTAGTCTTCTTTAATCTGTAACAGTTCTTCAACCTTTCTTTGTCTTTCATGACATTGACATTTTTGAAGAATGCAGGCCAATTATTTTTCAGACTATCCCTCTGGACTGGCTGATACCTCCCATGATTTGATTCACATTTTGCATTTTTGGCTGGAACATTATATAAGTAATGTTACTTCCTTCTCAGAACATCACATCTGGACTCATGTGATTTTCATTTATCCCTTTTTGAGGGTGTTAACTGTGATCTATTGGTTAAGATGTCCATTTCTTCATTTCTCCATATATATATATAGTATACATATATACTATATATATTTATATAGTAAATATAGTTACTCTTTTTCATTTTGTAATTAATAAGTATTTTATGGAAAGATAATTAGAAATTACACAAATATCTTATATATCATCAGTATAGAACATTTTAAAGCAGTGGCTTGATCAGATCTGCATTTTAGAAAGAATCCAGTGTCATTTTATAAAAAGGTTTGGAATAGAGGCAAGATAAGAGGTGAACAAGAAAATCTAGGGATTGTAACAGCAGTCCAAGGGAAAAGTGAAATGCACTTAATGAGAGTGGAGAGGATACAGATGACTAGATGTAGGGTAGTATGAGAGATGATACTAAGGTTTGAGAACGAGCAGATAAGAAATAAGGAAGTCAAGAGAAAGAACTGGTTTTGTGAAGCTACTGAGTTTTATTTTGGCACGTACAATTTTAGACGATAGGTATTCAGGTGAAAATTGTAAGCAATTGGAAGTGTCATATCAGATCCAGTGTGATATCTATACTGCATAAAGGTCATATGTAGTTCTAGCAGTAGATGTAGATGAAACCTCAATGCGGGGATGGAGGGAGAGGAGAGGACTGAGAACAGAATGTCAGGCAACGTCTAGGATGAAGAGGAAGTCTCAGTCCCTTGAAGAGGGATTCTAGGGGCTTAATTAGGAGTAATGAGAGAAATGATTGTCAGTTTGGGGGGATACAAATGAAGCTTATGGGAGATCAAGGGATCAACAGTTTAAAGGACAGTGACCTTGTTCAGTGAGAGTATAGGGGTACAAAAAGTAGGGGTATAGAAGTATATGTATATCAGCTGGGAACATTTTAGGAGTTCCAGTGCTTAGAAGTAAAGTAGAAGTTCCAAGTGATGACAGTGACCATCCAAGCAGTGACTTTGCTTGTGAGTGGCTGAAGTGACTTTGCTTGTGAGTGCTTGTGAGAGGCCTGGAGATAAAGGCCTGTGATATAGTCTTTCTTGTGGCACAGTTCTTGTAATTGGGGCTGTTGAAGTCACCAAGGGTATTGGCAGGAGTTGGAGTGGAGAAGAAAATATGAGTTACATATTGAGTCCATCAGAAGCTTTTTATGGTCAACTAGAGAAAGTAAAAATCAAAACAGTAAATGCAGGGAGTGGCTAACTGTTGCTTTGCAGTTTTAGAAATGTTAAAATTTTTCAGTGACTACTGATTATGACATTTTGTATTAACAAGATTCAATTTTGTCATCTTTTATTTAGGGTTAACCTATTTTTGGATCTGTTTACCAAAGAAGATTATGAAGAGTTTAAAGATGGAACTTTAAATTGAATCATAATTATATGTTAATTTTGATGTATTTTGTTGGAATTGGGACTTTAGTAGTTGAATAGAAAAAACTATGTTCTTTATCAATTAGTAGTGTTTCTTTGCAAATTAATAAAAATTTTAGTTAAATATTGTTATTATATGCATACAAGTGTTATTTTTAGAATTAATACTTATTCCATACTCATTCAAATTAATATTTTTCATAAAATTTAAATTAGCATATCAATATAATTGCATGCATTTAAAATTGCCAACTTTTCCCTTTTATTAATGAGTCTGCATCCACTGCTGTTTTTTTTGTTTGTTTGTTTAAGAAAAGTTTTACTAATGTGTTAATATTTTCAGAAAGTTATTGCAATGGGCTTAAAAGGCAGACAGACACACTATTATAGGCTATAAAGTAACAAGTTTCATACAATTAAAATATTACGTAGACCTATGGGATTTACTGAATAACTAACAGACCCATAAAAGAAATTAAATCTGAAAGGTTAAATCCAGTATTAGCACCTACAATATCTCTGAAAGTAAAACTTACAACCGTTTCATTCTCTCCTAGTATATGTCCTAACTTTCTCCCAAATACAGTGCTCTCAAACCCCAAAGATGAAGGGCACAGGAAATTCCAATACTAAGAACACACAGCCAAAAAGAACTAGAAACAGTGACCCAGACTTGAGACTTTTAGTTGGAAATCACTTAACTTACTGAACTTGAACCAATCATAATATTTCTGTGCACTGAATACTGTATATGAGGAAAGTCTAGGAATCATAAGGTTTGCCAGTAGGGATAGTTAAAAATTAGCAATATATAGTATTATTCCTATCAAATTTTTTTCTCAAGTTATATTTATAACAAAACTATAATTAAAATATTTATTAACACTTGCTTATTCAGGGACACAGCAGGGACATTTGTGTTTGATGGTTTAGCATCCACTTTATTGTGCTTACTTATTTTTATAAGGAACAAGCAACACATACCACATCTTCCCAATGTTCAAGGTAATGCAGTAATAACAGAATTCTCAAAAAAAACCCCAAAAAACAAAAACCTGGAAATTGCATTAAATACTGCTTTAATCAGGAACTGCTATAATAAAACAAGTAACATTATACATTATTTTTCCAATGAGCTTCGGTTTGAGAAACTGAACAGCAGAACTTGATCTTTAAGCTTTGAGTCATGGCAAAACTGGTAATTCTCTGAAATCTGGGAGATGCATTAGCAAAACCAGACACAGCCCACCCTTCACCAAAATCCTGGAGAAAAGCGTTTTATGAATTTGGGGGGGTAAGACTGAGCACTGGCTAGTTTACGACTTGCTGAAGCCCAAGGAATGACGAGAACCACTGGCACTGGTGGCAGGTAAGAAATAAACTGTGTTAGGCTGACCAACTGCATATTTTATTAATGGCTTTGAATAAAAAAAGTGAAATGCTTCATTGCGTTTTCTCAAAAACTAATCAAAAGATTACAGAGTCCTACACAATTTGGAGACACAAAGTGGATGCTGAGTGACTAGAGGACACTCCGGGTGTGGAATTTTACAAAGTCAGTCCTTGGAGTGAATGGCACCATGGCTCTGGCAGAGGATACGAAGGAATGATGCTCTGGAGAGGAGGTGGGGGACACTCTGCGGTCGGCCGGTGGACAG